TTCTACTTTCCAATGCATTTTTATGTTACATTTCGGTGCAACGACCAGAGTGCGGCGATGGGACGATCTCTCGCGGCTAGCAGATCGAGTCCGCCCAAGGACGTCCACTCCGTTGAAACCTCAAACTTCTACGTGCTCTTTGTGGCCTACAAAATAAGAACCAAATTCGTTTGTTAATCAGCGTAGATAATCCCTAGCCAAGTCGGTTAGAAAAATGATCCTGTATAAAAAAAGTTTAAGAGTGGAGAAATCTATTTTGTTTTATTTTGTAGAGCTCCGGGCGTGTAGGCAACATGGCCGCGACTTAAAGGCGAATCTATGGATCTACATATTTTGTTAGTTTTTTTTTAAATCAAATACAGCAATACAATGATATTTTTTAGTAAAAATTACATTTTTACGCAATGTCATGCTCTGTTAGGGATAAATTAAAGCATAAAGATTAATCTTCAAACGGTTATTGACAGAGAAAACATTATTTTAGTAAATAAATAAGAACACAAATCTTACGTTTTGGACAAAATAATACTAATACATTTATGGAAAGTTCGTTACGCGCCACCCTGTCTGTTAAGCAGGTGTTTGCCGATATTTTGACTATGATACTTAGCAGAACCGCCCATTTTTTTTTTACTTAATACACGTTTTTACCCTCTTGACCCATTTATAAAATAAGCGATGTAATCTTTTGTTTTCAAATTTATGTCAATAAACGTAAGTAATTTCACTTCAATATATTTCTGGGCAAATTATGTAAATTTTATAACGTTTTTAGAATTATTTTTATATTGGTGTGCTGATAATTATGTAGGTGATAATATGTACGAATTTGTTTCTGGGTATCAAGTATACCCTTATATAAAATTAAAATTATGATTCCTAATAGTGAACCAGTATTAGACAATGGAAGAAAAGAGTGTATTGTTTCACCTCGGTCCGGGGAGTTTCGCTACAATGAGCCTCATCCGGGCCAATCCGAGGTCGGGCGTGGACTCTGCAATTATAGGGTCTAAGTGAATATATTATTCGGACTAAGCAGAGGACTTTTGTGGATGTAGGCACAATATCTAACCACCTAAATGTACAAATTGAGTTGGCATACTATTTTCAATGACTCCTAAATAGGTAATAACTTATTTTATATTTGTTCTTCCCGTGACATGTACATATTTATAATTTAACGTAAAACAGTTTATTGTTGTATATAATGAATATAAAGCGATAAAGTTTTCTTTTGTGGGCACATAGCATCGCTGTGGAATTTGAGATCATAAGTACCTACATTTTATTTCACATTCGTTGTAAGGGATTTCGCGTGTTATAGAATTTCTAATAGTTAGCATTTGAACTCAGTCGTTCACCTCTTAACATTTCTAGGCTTAGGTTGAACTTAGAACAATTCCAAACGTTCAAGACGTATTCGTTAAATATTTTTAATTATATAGGGAGGAGGGTGAGATGACCCCAGATAAATAATACAATAAATTATGACCGGGCACGTGACAGGATGCTGGTGACAAATGAAGAGGCTACCGCTCCCCGTGAAATTACAATTATCTCTTTATATCAACTACTACCCCTTCTCTCATTATGCAAATGTAATTCATTAATTGTCTTTAAATACGTATGCTTAGTAAAACCATGGTTTCGTCAAATGCTTACATTTTGATTACGATATTTGAGTTATTTCAAATGCAAGGATATAACAATAGAAGGGATTGGTAAAAGTACTCGCGGTGTGGGCTTTATTAGTTGCGTATCATACTTTCGCTTCATCAGGCTCGTCAATTTGAAAAGCTCAACAAGCCGCCATGCGGGATGGCATTATTGCTTTTTTATTAGTGTTTTTTTTTATAACCCCCGCTTCGCAGTTTTTGTTACGCGTGCGTCGTGGGATAGGTCGCGAGGAGATGCTATTTATGCTGGTATTAGCATCACATTAAATGTGCATCACTTTACGAGGTATTGTATAGTAATCGTTACTAGAACTTTTTCGATTTTGAATCGCAAATGCAAGCGTTCCGAGTGTTAAAGTTTATCGGCCTCCGTCTAACGGCGGTGATACGTATGTGTATCCGCAGATTGCTAAACTAATTACCTCCCTACGACGTTCGTATCAAAGGTCATAACTGTTAAGTATTGACAATGGAACATTTGCATTTGTATTTCCGGCGCAATAGCCAAATTATCGTGAATTTTAACGGTCGTGTGGTTGACCGCCGACGTTTTGAAACATGCGAGTGTAGCTGACGTTGCAAAGTAATTAGCGTATGTCATAACTGTATTTTCATAGTTATTTTATAAGATAAGCGTTTCTTGCACTATTCACTAATGAGTTTCACGAGTCCGCTGGTAATTTGAAATCTAAATAAGTCAGCTACTGGTTAATTTTGTTATGGTGAATGTATCCGACAATTAAGCGATCGCGTACCACATGGACAAAGCCTAGTATTAGCAGCTAGGTGTAAAATTTAGAACATTTATAAGAAATATGAACGGAAGGAAACTTAGGCGTATACATAGTCCCATAATTTTAGTAAAAACCAATTAGGTATATTTGTGACGAATTAAATTGACAAACTAATCATGAAAACTAGTTATTTTTAATGAATTTGTAGATTTCGATTAATTCAATAAAAATCCTCGTTATTACTCGCGCAGACCGTCGGGTGTGATATGCGATTTTCAACTTTAAAGTAACGCAGCAAAGCGCGGATGCAAAACTGTTTTCTAATCGTAGTAGTAGAGGGTCTTAATTGAAATTTTACAATAAAATAAACGAATCGCTTTAAACAGACTATACCAGAATGTTCCCACATATTTTGCTGGAGTGATCCCTCAAGCGCCGATAAGTCGTATCGGTTGAATCCGTCATCGATATGCAAATGACTCCATACAATGAGTTAAGAGCACTTCACGCTCACGGATGCTAAGAGGGCAGTCGACATTCGCAGCTATTGTTTTTCCTATGTGATTTATTAACCGTGAGAATTTACCGACTAAATGCCTATGTACGTGCACGTTACGTTTTGCGTGCTGTTTTATTTTTGCTAATACAAGTTTATTTATTATTATATATTTTCGTAAATTCCTCCCAAATAGACTTTATATCTGACCCGAAAAATCAGGATCTTCGTATTTAAATTAATTTGTCCTTTTTTTAACCAAATTTCCATAAAATCAATGTTTATGACGATAACTTTCAACAATCTCTTGTGCCTCTTTATACCTATATTTATAGTAATTTCAAAGATGTTTTGGAGTTTTGTTGATCAAATAGAGTTGGACAAATAGTAAATGTATATAGGTCTGATATCTTAAACTAAAGATATTCGATTAACCCTTATACGACCATTACTAAACGAACACTTATCATGTCCCCTATACTATTCATGATTGTAGTCTATAGTGTTGATTCTCATCATGAAGATTGACATCCTATTGATTACATGAATTATCTGCGTTTCGTCCATTAATTTAGTACCTATGAGTAATTTCACCATAAAGACGTTTTTGCTGAATCTTAGGTATACTTTACCGCGCTACTTTAGGATAAATGTTAAGCTCTACATATCAGAATTTTTTCAGGAATTCGTGAGCTTTCGCTATATTTAAAATTGTTTATTACAACATCTTTGATATATGTATTTTTTGTCGTCTTGTTAAGAGTCTACATAAACCTTCAGACATATCCCTAGCCACTTTATCGCACTGATAACGGGGTCACTGAATTGGTTTTATTAAAGATGTATTGTGTGTCCCTAAGGATAGACGTATGCACTACATCCGGAAAATATAATACAAATTGTAATTGATTTGATCATTGTTGTTAATATACATATATTTGAGACAAATTGTAGTTGTTATTTAAATAAGTAAATTGGTTTGTTTTCAACGGAACGGAAGTCATTCTCCATCTTAGAAAAAATATTGCACACACATCATGTTCTATTTTTGAGTGCATTTCGCGCTATTTTGGCGTTCCCTCCGCGGGTAATGTGTCAATGACCCCGTTTGTCGGCGTTGTTCACGCAGTTTTGGGAATTTTAGGGCGATATGCATATTGCATAGACAAATAAAGTAATGTAATTAACTAAGTCGTTAAGTTAAAAAATTGCGGATGCGAATAGACAAATTTAACACTACATTTCGCAAAGCTAATGCAAGCACGACTATTGCAACATTTTATAGCTTTAAATATTTGAATTTTTAATAAGGGATCTAGGTACCTTAGATGTACTCAACTTAAGTAATTTTGATGGAAATATTTTGCTTTTTTCAGTAGTAACAAGCGTCGCAAATAGTGTCCAAAAAGCACATGGAGTAACCATGAACTCTTAACATACTTTTTTAATAGACTAAGCTAACATTAATAATCTTTAAAGTTTAACCAAGTCATGCGTTTCATTTTTTGAGTAGGAAACTAAACTTAAAACTCTGGTGAGGTGCGACTGAAGTTTTAAGTAAAATTATACTTTAAATACTTTATTCTGTAGAGCGGGCTCTGTGCTATCGAGTTGTTCGCGGTGCACACAACAACAACGTGCACGTAATATGCGCGTGCGCACTCACGCACACAGAGCCGCAAACCCTCCTCACCGCGCTGCAATTCGTNCATTTTTTGAGTAGGAAACTAAACTTAAAACTCTGGTGAGGTGCGACTGAAGTTTTAAGTAAAATTATACTTTAAATACTTTATTCTGTAGAGCGGGCTCTGTGCTATCGAGTTGTTCGCGGTGCACACAACAACAACGTGCACGTAATATGCGCGTGCGCACTCACGCACACAGAGCCGCAAACCCTCCTCACCGCGCTGCAATTCGTCGGGAGCGGACCGCCCCGCGCCCTCTCGCCCGCACGCAATTGCACTGCACTCCGCTCTGCGCTGCGCTACGTGCGTAAAAAGCGCACGCAAGAGGCGCGGGGCGCGGCGTTGGCGGGCCCGCGACCCAGCGCGGCAGCCACCAGACACACACAGTCATCGCCAGCCGCTCGCGAGAGCACGCCGCCCCCACACATTCAGGGCGAAACCACTATTAACGCGAAACAACCCCGAACGTGATTAAAACTTTCTAGTGACAGTGCAAACATTTTCATATGACTCATCTATACATGTACATTCGTATCTCATTAGCAGTATAGGTGCACGGATTCTGTTTTTATGGTGAGTAGCGCAAATTATCTTTATGCTAGATGTAGTTTCGTAGCAGTGCTACAATTTTCGTAGACCTTAAATATAAAAAAAATCTAATAAACTTCTGTATGTGTATAGGTTAAATAAACAGCCGTTCGCATAAATTTAAACTTTCAAAGTAAAGAAATAGAGATTAGATTATAATAAGTTGTCGCGGTGCTGAATATATAAGCAGGAGGGAATCCGGCGTGACTGCTTTCATCGGTCCCCTAAGTTCGATTATACCTGGCGAATAAAAGGTAAAAAGTCAATTTATCAGTATAGAAGGGCTATGGTGCGTAATGTGTAGACGGAGAAGGGCGGTGCAGTTGAGCAGTCGTGCTACACCGAGCATTACGTTCGCACTCTATCGCAGTGCTCCTCTTGACGCGCACGACCTACACGCACTCGGATTAATTTATCAGTTTAGTGCTTATATGTGAATAAGTTTTACAATGTATCCCGCCCCTATATACAACGACATACCTCAAGGTGGGTTTTATTTATATCGTGTAACTAGTCGAAAATGTTTTATTTTATTACGCTTTTTTCCATAAATATAATGAAAATCCCTAAAAATTTTGAATTTTTGTAATTTAATATTTTTACATAAGACATGATTATAAGTTAAGATCTTAATTTAATTGCTACGTTTCATGATATTTTTCGATTCCTAGCATAATTTAAATGCAATTTACTCAAACATTTCATTTTCCGATGTCTGCGATTAAAATATTTTTTTGGCATTCCCTTTTGATCAAAACTATGTCTATGATAATACGTTTGCATTTCAGTGATGTCACAGCTCTCTATTTTGTTGTCAGGAATTATAATGGTCGCCGCTTGTCTTTTTCGAATGTGTAGAATAAACGCCGCATTTTCCTAAATTTAAATTTACAATTGTTGTTCGCAGAAGCGCAATTGAGAAAAATGGAGAGTAACGAAGGTCAACAAACTTTCTGTTTAAAATGGAATCATCACAAGACGAACTTAGTAGAAATCCTAGAGGCTCTGATAAAAGGGGAAACATATGTGGACTGTACGCTTGTGGTCGATGACCAAGTAACATTTAAAGCGCATCGAGTTGTCCTCGCCGCTAACTCCCCGTATTTCCAGTCCATATTAGCCGATGTGCCCATGGATCATTGCAGTATTCTGTTCCCGGGGGTTAAGGATTTCGAAATGAGAGCGCTCCTTGAATATATGTACACGGGTGAAGTTAATGTTACACAAGCCCATATCCCCCGAATAATGAAAGTTGCTGAACAACTTGAAGTCAAGGGTCTTTTCGATATGACGGAATTGCGTAGGCAGCCCGGAAACACAGAACGGACTCCTGGCGCTTCGCCGCCTCGAGTTGTACCCGCTGCTCCTTCCAGCTTATCACCACCGGCACCTGCACCACCCTCGAGATGGCCGCCGCCACCTACTGCCCCCGTGCTTTCTGCTGCGTACGACTCGGTTGATATGAACCCACTCAAACGGAAGAAACTATCGAGTATGTTAGCCACTCGGGACACCCCTATCTTAAGAAACGTGCTCGCTCAGAATTCCCCTGTAGATTCATCGCAGCCTATTTCATTAGTATGTCACCCTGTCAATCAGCAAAGTGTTCCGCCACGTTTGCACTCCAATGGGTCAGCACATGAAACTGACAGAGCTTCCAGTCCCCAAAGACCCTTCGATTACCGCCCACGTAGATTATCGTCTCGTGCTTCATCGCCCCACTTTCATCGATCAGATCGTTCTGAAGATGCACACTCTCCATATACTGAACGTTCATTTGAAGAGGAAACCCCACGAAATTTCCATCCGTCTCCACCACCGACCAATTTTCAACATGATGTCCGAGCTGGGCTAGCACCATATGTCCCGCCACAACAAAAACCCGAATGGAAAAGATACAAACAATATACAAGATCTGACATTTTGTCCGCCATAGAATGTGTGAGAAACGGTATGAGCGCTCTGCAAGCGTCGCGCAAATACGGCGTTCCTTCACGTACGTTGTATGATAAAGTGAAGAAACTTGGCATTACAACGAGTCGACCAATGAGTCGCGGGGTCAAGAGAGAACCTAATGGAGCTGCTTTTCCTTATGGACTAACTGGAGCTGGAGGGAATGATGAAGGCAATCCTACCACACCATTGATAGACCCATCGTTTCTGCAACAAGCTTTGGAAGGAGCTACAAGAGACGGGGGTCGAGAAGCATTACATGCCATGGCTTTGGCTGCTGCGGCACATGCAGCTTTAGCTCCTCGTACGCCACCACGGTCTCCGCCACAGTCGCCCCGTACACCTCCGCCTGATGATGATCATGTAGAAGATCTATCAGTCTCTCGTCGCCGCGATCTAGACCCACCTACAGGTGTAATCGTGCCGCCGCGAAACTTTGCTTTAGATTGTAGTAGTGAAAGAGATTGAGAGATTCATAGACATAGACATCAAGACTGACTGACTTAGGCGTACAAAGATAGACGTAAGGCATTATTGGTAGGCTACTAGTAGGACGCGCCGCGTGCGCACTCCTCACTGACCGGGCGCTCCGGCCGGGCTATTGCAATGGGCCCCGCGGCCACTTTCATACTACCTGTTTATTTCTTCTCTATTTATTTCGAAACGACATCCGAGCCTGATAATGAAATAAAATTTCCGTTACAAGGTCGAGGATGCGTTATTGTGATTTTTATTTTTGTTTATATTTCTTCTTTGATTATTATGTTTTATAACGTTTACGTCTTTGTTAATAAATAGCAGATTAGGATAGCTTTAATTAGCTTTTAATAATTTTAGTTGGACCGGGAACATCATAGGGCCGAAGGGCAGTGCCGGCCACGCCATCGCGCCTGAGGCGGGTTCGCCTAGACGAGTTATTGTGCAATTTGTTGTCCGCGACTGTGATGTTTATAGACTGAAACGCCGCTACTACCTCACGCTAGCTACAGCTCAACTCTAGTCCAGCGTCGCAATAATTGCCATATTATTTAAACTGTTCCGTTAGCAAACTTGCGATCTCTTCAATCGGACGGAAAACTATTTAGCCGTGTGTGCGACGTTTACGAGTATTTCTGTATAATCGCGGATGGCGACCTATAGGTACAGAACGAAATAATTATAATTCCTTGAGTTACGGGTTAGATTTATTTATTTTTGTATAGAATGCCATAATTAATATTCATTGTTGATCGATACCTTGTTGTGTTCACTGTCATCGGTAGTTTGTAATTGTTTGCACAAGCACGGTGGTTCTTGTTAGATATAAGTGATTTTGTCAACACTTAGATAATAGTGCTCAACGTCTTTTATGTGAGTAGGTAGTATTTTATAGGATAATTTAACAAAANTTAGATTTATTTATTTTTGTATAGAATGCCATAATTAATATTCATTGTTGATCGATACCTTGTTGTGTTCACTGTCATCGGTAGTTTGTAATTGTTTGCACAAGCACGGTGGTTCTTGTTAGATATAAGTGATTTTGTCAACACTTAGATAATAGTGCTCAACGTCTTTTATGTGAGTAGGTAGTATTTTATAGGATAATTTAACAAAATAAAAACTTATAATACACATAAACCTACATCATATTTACTAATAATTGTTTTCTCATATATATAAAAAAAAAACAATTAAAAAATCGGATCATATCAAATTTTCAGATAAAATTGATTTGGAATTATATGATTTAATATTAAATTGTGTTCAGATGTACTAATATCATACGTATCTACAGTAATATTAATTTCTGAATTAAATGTATATTTAATAATTTTATCGTAATCATAAGCGAATACTTATTATTTTGTAATTGATTGGAAGACTGATTATTTTAGTCTAATTTGAAAATGCCATAGATACGATAATGTACTAGAATTACCCTAGTTGGTATTTGCATACGTAACTCTATAATTTACTAAGATGAAACTCACGTGTTGAGTGTGTAGAAGCTACACGTTTAGGTCTCACTAATTTGTGCCTTTGTTTCGTCATTGTAAAACATTATGTGCGTAGGACATTCCAGTAGTAATGATGCACATTCGTGTTTTAGATCGATGCGCTCACAGAGGAATCTACTAAATATTATATTCTTTAGGATTTTATGTCAGTGTAAGTGGAGTTACTAAAAGTAGAAAACCCATTTGTACCCGTTATATCGTTTTCATAATATACCTCAGTTTTGTTGAATCGATATGTTATATTTTTATTATATTATTATGATTAAATGTCCACTATTGTGCCTATAAATACATTTATTAAGTGTGATGTTATTTGTTAAGTAAACAAAACATTTGATCATTTTAAGTGCACTTTTATTCTTCTTTTAATATTTAAGTTGTGAATTGAAGATATCGTATGTACTTTAAATATTTAGTATCTACATCGTGTCTATAAACCTAAGTTATATTATAGCGGGCATTTTCGTCTCGCTTCTATATATTAAAACTAAGATCACTTATATTTACATATAATATAATGTTATAAATACAATTAAAGGTTTAATAATATCGAAATGTCTTTGTATTTCTATTTTAATCAGTATTGACTTCGGTCGAAGTAATATCACGGTAACATTGTACCTACACTTAGTTTATTGTCAGTGGCAGATGACAGAAGAGCATGCAGCCTACCTGAAGGTGAATGGTTACCGATGTTCGTATACTAAGCTACTGATAATAAAAATATATTATATTTGATATTAGATCAGAACATGGAAGCTTACGATCCAGACTCCCTTGAGCTGTTGCAACTATCAGATATAGTATATGATATAGCACATATTTCATTGTTTTTATTTGGTATCCTTTTTTCCTAATTTAGGGATTCCACTGACTTATTCAAGGAAATTCGACATCACGTAAGTACTGCAAGCGAATTATGGTAGGGATTATATGGGTGTTCATATTTTGATGTATATAGTTATTTATCCAACTAGATCCAAAAAATAAATGTATGTGTAAGGATGACCTTTCACAATAGTTGCAATGTGCGACTAGTATAGGTCATAAATAAGCAAATCAGCTGTAGACATTGTAATAAATGCTGATGAACCACAGAGCGCTCTGAAGCCAAAGGTTACCTACAGTTCGATTTTTTTTGCGAAAGTCGAAAAACGAGTTCAAAGAGCGACTGGTGTTAAGTGCTGGGCATACAGCAGAATGTTCAACAGAACCAACCGTGAACAACCTGCACACCACTGAGACGTGAGGCCGAAGGACCGCTTAAAGTAAAATACGAAAGCTCTACACTTGAAACTGGAATGTATATTTAATTTTGTTGCTGAACTAGACAAGACACTTGCCATGAACCCGTAAGGGCTCGTATGATTTAGCAATTACCTAATGATCACTTATATTTTTACTGAGTAAATTATATGTGTGTACATAATAAACACTCAGGAACAATGATACTTATGTGAGGGTTGGAATAGGGATAACATAGACATCCATGATGAATTTTACTTGAATAGCGCCACCTAGTATCTCAATACACATTTTTCTTATTTTTTACATACATTCATGATTGTCATGATACAACGGTCTTTGCTTGTTGCTCAAAAGCGCTGGAAGAGGGCGCTGTTACCAAAAAAATAAAAATAAAAATTTGGGCGTTGAGCCCCTTAGGATTTAAATATTTTTTGTCCCACTATAGAGGGTAGAGGTAAGGAGAACCATCTCAGTATATTAAAAAGTGTCCAGTGAAGGGCAGCAAATTAAGATGGCGCCATAGTAGCAAGTGGAAAGATTTTAAAAACAGCGCCATAAGCTGTTACACTTCTGGTATATTCCGATTTGCACTGCGAGCACTGTAAAGTGTGACGTCAAATTAGTATACTGCCAAGCCGTTCCTTTACAGTACAGTATACTGTCATCGATGTTGTCAGGGCGGAGTTTTCACTTCAGCAAAAAAATCTTGTTTAAATTTACTTATATTTGAAAATAGAATATTCAAGTTATTGTCAGTTTAATTAATCGCTAAAAGTAAGTATATTTTTAGTAAAAGAAAATATTGTTCTTCAAGCAATTTAATCTATAGTAATTTAATAACCGTATTATTGAAATGAGGTTATGCACGGTAAAAGTGCTGAAGTGAAGATTTATGAAATCATGTATCATTCCTCCGTTCCATTCATCATCATGTATCATCAATCATTCCATAAGTTACTACGACTGTATACTGTCAGTCCTTAACATAGGTAACGAATAGCAGTGAGAGTACTGAACAGTGCTCGCAGTGTAAATCGGAACAGGTACTTATTAACTCCATGATCGGAACATAGCCTTCACTGCAATCCAGCACACTTCACTCAGTTTAAAACTTCTATATTCATACTATTTCCCCTTGCTACACTAGCGCTAATTCGGTGAGTTTTCGAACTATAATTTGGTGTTTACAGATGGACACTTTTTCAACTTGTCCCTTAAACAAGATGGTGCTCCTTACCTCTACCCTCCATATGTCCCACAAATGTGGGATAATGTGAAATTGCCACACTAAAAAAAAGCAGAACAAATAACAACAATTACCTACTTCAAAATGTGTACCGTACTTAAGTAGGTACTGTACATAACACAAATTTTGAGGAAATGTTCTAAGGCACTTATTTTACCGGAAGCAAACAGTACGGTACCGTATGTAAAGAAATTTAATGGACCTACAGTTTCAGACATTTGTTAAAGTAGTAGTAATTCTATTTTTCCAACTGAAAAGGCAAAGGTATGCTGCCATACTGCCTAATCGTTTTGCAATTTTTTTATATAAGAAGTGAAATGAAATTATGTGATGAGATGATATGGGATGAAACATACTCTTAGTAAAATGGTGGTTATTTACTGAGATTTTATCAGTAAATAGCCACTGGAGTGCTTCCAGTGGATTTTTTGGAGGATCCCGAGAAGCTACGTTCATCGGCTTTGTTTCATTTTGACACATTTCTGCACTTTCACAGATACTAAACAGTTAATAAACTACCGTTATTAAACATTTAAACCCAAAGAAACATTAAATATACAAAATAAAACAACTCAGACAACTTCGATCCTTGCGTTCCCGCCAAAAATTTCATTTGATAAACTCTTTTGCCTACATAATGAATTCATTACTAGCCCGTCGTAGCGGGCTCCAGTAATGAATTCAAACTGAATTACTGTTAAATAATCGAGCTATTTATAGCTAAAGATTACACTGCTTAAAACAGAATATCATTCTGTTGTAGTATACAATAGCTCGGAACATTGCCAAAAACTTGTTACTCACAAGCATACATCACACCATTTTATATTTGCTCATATCACTTTCACATCCTAGGACAATATCAACATTTGAGTCGACTATTATCAAAGGCGGCAATCTGACTTTTGGACAATGATTGGTAAATCAGAAAAACGAATTATTGACTTTGTATTCCATTGGCAGTCACAAAACTCTTCGGAACGACATCTTAGATAAATAACAGGTTAACTATTAACCTTTATTTAATGCAGGTTTTGAACCGTATTCTTTGAAGGAGACGATTATATTCAAATAAATCTGTATTGACATATCAATAACA